ACTTGTAGGTCTTCATGGAGGGGGAAAAACAAAAAGATGTCATCTATTTCATTTTTCATTTACATTAAGTGAATATTCCAGAAGTGACTATAACTGGCTGAAAATGTTTTGCTATTTTTTTTGGAAAATGAAGTTAGGAAAATGTAGGTGTTGCAAAAAATTGACAACTTTCCATTTAAAAAAAAGTGGAATGATCTTAATTAATTGCATGCTTTTTCTGCAGTTGAATTGCTGGAATATTAATGCATATACTCCTTAATTAACAATGTGTCTGCAATTCACTTGGTTTATGACAAAATTCCTTCTCTGATCTGGACTTAGTGGCTGGACTGCCTCTGTGTTATCCCTGAGTGATCTGGGGTTCTTTGCAATGGTAAAATGTGGATGAAGTAGTCCAAGTCGACTATAAAAGACTGAGAAAGTAGACACAGTGAGTACCTTGGTGGCCACAGTGGAACACCAAACAAAATGGGTTGAATCAAAACTTCACCCCAAAGTGAAATATTATTTATTATGCTACAGCTCAAGTGAGATGTTCAGACATTTCCAAACCCCTACCTTACTTCTCATTTGCATTAATAAAAAGATAATATCTTATTTTCAGGATTTGAGTTGCTAAGAAGCATTTTAACATATTATGATATTAAATACATAATATCATAATTTCTAGTGGGATGCAAATCCCAGGTTTTACCAGCTGCTAATGGCCTCTGGAGAGATTCAGGCTGATGAGGTTTGTGATGTCAAACAGCTGTAGATGAAAATACTAGAAACACATGACAATAATCAAATAATACAAATATAAAACTACAAATCTGAGACAAGCACATAATTTTATGCTATTATTTTGTATGATTTTATGTGATATTAAATACCATTAAATTGTCATACTCTTAGCAAACTCAGATAGGAACATACTAATTTGCAGATTTATATTTCAGACTCTAAAGAAAAAAAAACCCACAGTATTTAGTTAGTGTGAACAAACTTGTGAAGTTTACTTTTTTTTTTAATGTGAAACTGATTAACTGAAAAGAAAGAAATGTATCAAGTTCACCCAGCAATATAAGGTGAACAATTCACATAAATGACATAACTGTAACCCCTTTTCTTCTGTATGAATTATCTCAGAGCAGGCTGCGGAATTTCAAAATGTACCTGTAATCAAACATATATGCTCAACAATTCTAAATCTGCAGTTTATTTGCACGAGCTTTATATACAAATTCAATATTCAAAATTCAAGCTGTTTGATTAGATCAGTAGGCACAAATGTTTCTATCTCGAAGCTTGATTCTTCATACCAGAAATCTATGAATCACTCAGAATTTGCTTTTTGCAAATACTCTTCAATATGTTCAAAATTAATCAAACATTATTGTTAGTACCTCTATTCAGCAGAATAGTTACAGAAAGCAAACAACACCCAGCTCAAATTACTGTCTATGTATCTTTCCAGTGAAAGGAAGCACTGATAAATGGAATTTAACAGCATAAAAGAACAAACTATATTTACTCACTCAACTTTTGAAGGAAAAATGATACTAACATACCTGCAATACATGTAAATCCCTTAAATAAATATATTGGTAGCTTATATCGCTACTCCTACGTATTTTTTCCTGACAAAACCCGTTCATCATCTAAATTTTAAATATAAAATGAAAGTATATTTACTTGTGGAGGCTGGATGTATTATATTTATCTGAATCATTCTGATCCCTAACTTGGAAGATATATTTTTCAGCTGCTAAGCTATACACTAACGTGGGAAGCTGCTCACCTAAGCTTTTTTTCAGTGCTACCGAAAATACTAACAAAACAATTAAACTATTGCTTCAATGGGAGCTGCATTGCATGCAGGCAATATGTATATTTTCTTATATTGTCATTGTCTGAGTTTCTTTCCTCTTACTGGCAGGCTTATAGAACTGCAAAAGCCATGAAAACTCAGTGCTAACTTAAAAGGTGCAACCTCTGTTACTTTAATATTTTTGTACTGTGTATCAAGGCATCATTTACATTAGATAATGAAATGGAGATGAGGCAGAAAACACACCTCTGAAAGACTTTCTACACAAAAGGATGAACACATAGTTCTTTGCACAAAGCATTAGAAAATACTGTGATATTTTATTATTAAAAATGCTGCTGAAAAGTTTATACATATGTGTCCAGCCATATATATCTTCTATCATTACTTAAGGCAAAAAAACCAAAAAATTGCAAAACAATAACAGGAGAAACCATTAAACCCTGTGTGCCTCTTAAGGTCAAGAATATAAGCCTGGGAAAGTACTTTCGCTTTTCTTTTACAGTTTGCAAAGTATATTCTGATATCATTATTATAGAATTCTATGAAGACTCTATAAATCTGTTCCAGATGTATCAAATTATTAAATCAACTTGATTGTAATTACTTTTAAAAGCTAAAATTATTTCACTTACAGGAACTTTCTTTTTTTTTTTTACCCAAATGTCACAAGCCTGATGCAGTACTGTACATATTGCTAGCAGAAAACGATTTGAAGTACTAAACAAATACTGTAATTCACATTACTAACATACCCAACTGATTATGACGCCAAGCATCGTTACCTTTTTTTGCTTTTTTTTTTGTCTTTTTTTTTTTTTTTTACCTTTTTTTTGAGACTTATGAACTGGTGCATCTCAGCTGAGGCATTACATAGGTGGTGGAAATGGTCTAATATGGAGTCAGCATTAATCAATATTATGTCATGGATCAGCGGGAAAAAAAAAAACCCAAACCAAACAGTTTTCCAATTGCTACAGTTGTACTTTGGGGTTGTTGCTTCATCACATTCCAACCTGAGCATCCAGGTCAGGTTTATAGCACATTTATGATATTATGACAGATAAAGGATTATATCAGCCACATGTTGCATTTTTATCATGTAATTAACTTTTTATTTCTTCCCTTCAGAATCTGTTTTACTGCCTGCTACAACAAGGAGTTGTGCAGATGAAGAGACCTCAGTGAATCAGTGATTACCTTGTCTTTGATTTTATTTGTAGGGGTGACTGTTCCAAGACATTTTATTAGAAAACAAAAAGCATAGAAAACAAGAAGAGGTACAAGGCATCTTGTGTTAGATACTTATGGGACGTGATATTGATGTAGCTTAGTTGTTCATTAATAATAGAAAATACATCTGGGATAATCATATTCAAGTGCAGACCAATTTGTTCAAGTATCTTTGGTTACTATCTCTCAATGATGGAGTAACTTTCAAAGACAAAATATAAAGCAATCTTCATCTGTGAGAACTTATTTCTAACTTTTCACATTTGAACCAGTTGTTTGAATGAAACTGCTAAGTTCCTTATTTTGTTACCTCTGCTTTCTTACCTCTGCAAAGGAAGGACAGAAGGGAATAATCAGCTAAGAATTTTGTCCTTCCTGAGAGTGATGCTTGCTGGGATTTTCATTTTTATCCAGATGAAGAACAGCTGATGTCTCTGCTTCTCTCCCAGTGATGTTCACTGACTATGGGACTGCTATGTGTGATAAATCAGCAAAAACAGTATTTTCTGACAGGTATGCTTTCAAGCACAAAACAGGATACTGGGCACAGAAGTTCTTTACACACTGACCACTTCTGAACACTTTAAAAGCAGCCAGCCAACTAAACCACCATTTCCCCACTTGCAAATTGTGGTTTTGTTTCACTTAGCAAAGCTAAGAAGGTGCTTTCTCAGCTGAGATTCTGCTGCAACTGCTGGTGAATATAGAGCTAGTTTTCCTCAGAAAAGGCTGACCAAAACACAGGCTTTCTTTGCTTTTGTCAGGGCACAAAACTCTTCCTAATGTATCACAATAACCAAGAACTACAAACTGGACTCTGAATATATATTATTGGATGTTTTGTGGTTCAGCCCAACAAGCTTAAAATAGTAATTATTTTCTTTTGTTGTTTTTTTTCTCTATTTTCCAATCCATTGCTGTGTTGCAATTTAACAAAGGCTAACACAAAATTAAATTATAGAAAAAAAATTTTTCAGAAAAGAACAACAATCTCCTATGAATACTTTAACATGCACTAGTGTAACCTGAAAGAGAAAATACACAGGTCACACAGACAACTGTATCCTCTGCATGACATCATGGCCTCATATAAATGAAACATGTTAGAACAAACTCATGGTTTTTGTTTACCACTAGTAATTAAGAAGAAATTCCTCCTTTGGACTTAGAGGAAACGGAGGTGATATGACTAATGTATATACACATAGGTCACAATCGAATGCACAATCTTTCTAAAAGCTCTTTTCAAACTGAAAACATCAATAAAAGCTGTTTTTTTGTTTGTTTTTTGTTTTTGTTTTTAAACTCACAGCTATGTACAATTTTACAAAGTTTCTTTAAATATAGTTCATGCTGGCAAGTCATCTCTTTGCACAGAACTATACGTATTTTACTGCATAGTCAGTCCTCCTCTTTTTTTTTTTCATTTTTGTGTTTAATAATAAAATTCTATTTCCCCGATCTGGATTACAGCTTCATATGCTGGGTAAAAGCCCATGGTGATGTCTTTGTTTTAGCAAGGGCCATTCATGGTATGGCACATAAAGAATTTTTTATGATTTTTTTTATTAAAAAAAAAAGAAAAGAAAACCCCAAAAAAAACAAAAAAACAAAACCCAAAACACCTGTACAGTCACTGGCTCTGCATTCCAGAAGACTCTGCTTTGCTTGTTACGCTCAGAACACCATTTTAAGTGACGACTTCTGGCCTTAACTTTCAATCAAATTGGCTGAGATCTTAAAGCAGTATCATAATAGCAATGTACACTTTTCACATTTCACAGGGTTTGTAGTTGATCTTTAACATCAGTAAGTTTCTGTGGGAAGGATCAGTAAGAAAATAATGACTATCCTTCTCTTTAAGTTGTTTTTACTTTAGATTTTGACAAGGTGTTCAATGGATGGTATTCTAACTTTTTCCTCTTCTTTTGTTTGTTCGTTTGTTTGTTCTTGTTTTCTTCCAAGTGGCTTGTAAGGGTAGAGGGGAAGAGCTGAGCTATACCCTAGTGGTTGAATGTCCATGGGGCAAATTTGTACTGTTTTGTCCTCCACTAAAGGTGTTGAAAGTATGCAAAGGCTGCATTCCTGTTAATGTATTTGGAATCATGGTTATGGTGTTGGGTGTCATTAACGGGATGTCATCTGGGGACCTTCTCAAAGTCAGCGTGTAGTCAGGCGGACAGGTTAGTCTCAGTGTGTCATGGGCCTGCAGCGATTCACATTCGTGGTCATGTTCTAGCTGTTTCATCTGCAACGACATAATCTCTTCATTTTGTATGTGTGCTATATCATTAGTTGTGTTCCTCTGGGGGCTAGGGCGCCTGTGAGTCTCATGACGCCGCTTGTCCTTCTTGTAATATAATGCAGCAAAAGCTAAAATATTGAGGAACAGCAAGGATGCCCCCACAGCAATAGTGACACTCAGCTCTGTGGAGTAATCTCGCTTGTTTTCTATCAGAACTGTTGTATCCTCTGGAGCTGTTTTATGGGTGTCTTTTGAATGCTTGGGATTGTTGGCAGGTGTCATTGCTGGGCGTTTGGTGGCCGGCCACAATTTACCAGGAGAACGTCGCGTCACATAAGGAAATGATGTCATGTCAGGAGGGGGTACTTTAGTTGTTGTGGAAACATACTGAAATATTTCATTCAGGTTGTGAAGATGTGGTACGAGCTCCAACCAGAACGCAACTTTTGTTGCTCGGTAGTGATCACGAACTCGGGGTTTCAGGCCAATATGCAGGTAAAGCTGATCTTTAGGATTGTATTTAGACCAAGCCACTTCTTCAAAGCGGTTGGGTTTTGTGTGGATGAACTTTGTGTCCTGAGGAACAGGCTGGTTTGGATCTCTATGGAAATAAAAACAGGCAATATTATATTCATTAAAAAAACTAAACCAAAAGCAAAACCCGCAAAACCCTCTGTTTTTCAGTTATTGGTTTATCTGGTAATTAACATAACCTAAAACCAGAAGCTAAAAACCCCTCCCTAACTTAAAAAGATATGTTAATAAATAAACAAAAGAAAAATTATTTACTGTGCAGTGCATCTCAGATACTTCTTTACATTAAAAAGGTGAAAGGGTTGTGTTTAAGCTTGCAAAAGCTCATCTGAAGTTCTGTGTTTCAGTATCAATCTCTGAAGCTGTCTTAGAGAGGTACTAACTATCTTTATCCATAGTGAAGGTGTGGGTTCAGCTCTTCTCGAGGTTTTATATTAATTTTCTCACTTAAGGTATCTCTACTTTTGCTGTTCTAAGTAGTAAATACGGGAGCTAATCCTCATGACAATGCTGGAAGTCATGTGACTGTAAAAATTTACACTAGCTGTGTATATTACTTAAAAATCTTCAAAACATGAAGTAGCAGGGCTAATACATAACTGGGAACTATTTGCGTTCCTTTCCTGAGTTATTAATCCCCATTTTTGTTCAAATACCTGCTTCAGAGAAAAGCCTTTGAAGAATTTGTATGTCACAAATCTTTCTGTTATTTGCATTAGCAGATTACTATTTTAAAGTTCCGTGTGCTCATCAATTCTAAATGACTATGTTTAATGGTTGTAGGACAGTGAGCCTTAATTCTGTCCCAGTTTCTAGAGATGAGAAATGTATTAGCTGAGATAGATAAACAAGTTTTATAGTAGTTAAGTAGCAGTAGAGACAAGGGTAGCACACGACTCAGAGATGATTTCAAAATGGGTAACCCAAATATTTAGTTGAAATTATGCTTTTTCCATCTTTTCCTTTTTCTTTTCTTCTAAGAAAAAAGGTTCAGAACAAAGACAAGCTAAGGGCACAAAAAACATTTAAATGTGGTTAATGTGTATGTATCCTTATAATTTTGGTAAACTTTAATGTAAATATTACTTCCTCTTGGCATGCAAAAATATAGAAATCTAAAATTACTAATACTAATTTTAATATTCAGTTGTGCATGAGTTTGAATCTCCTTTTACAGAAAAGAGTATTTTCTGGAACTTTGTGATATATTATACTACATGCATGATTCATTTTCTGTGCATTACTTTGAGAACTTTCTATTCTCTTTTCCATTCCCATATGCATTAGTTTATTTCCTGTGAAAATTATTCCAATATTTTCCTTTTCTTCCAGTATACTCTGATGTATGTTATGGGAATACCAAGACCCACCACTACAGATTTGAAAGCATTTGATTTTTTTCTTTCTTCATTTTCCTAAGTTCATGAACATGATTACCTACTTTAGCATTCTTTTGCTGTTCATAAAGAGCTATTCTTTGGTTCTTCAACCAGGTTGGTAACTTGACTTTAATAGTTGTATGATTCCTGTATTCAACTGTTCACCTGAAAGAATTTTTCTTACCTTTTTTTAAGTGAAAGAAAGAACCGTTTTTCAAAATAATTTTGGTCCTTTGGTTTACTTATACCTGTGGGTTTAGTTGTTTGGGGTCTCTGGGGGTGTTTTGCTATTTTTATTTTTTATGTTACTGCCATTTATCTATCTGCCATTTTATGTAGTAAGTTAGCCAAACTGTGTTAATTCTGAACAAAAAGAAAATTGCACAGTAATTGTTCACTCTAATTGAAGCTCAAAGAGTAATATCCACTTCTAAGCAATGCAGCAGCTGATGTATGCTTCTACTTTGAGGGATTCTAACATGCATTCAGGAAAGAAATAAAAGTGATTCTTTTGTTCTTAAAGAATGGACTGAAAGAGTTGGCAAATCCAGAGAAGATATTGGCCCAATTCAAATACATCTATTACTATATTACTTTGGCATTCAACACATAGATTCTAAAACAAACTAAAAATCAGCAAAATTATAAAAATGCAAAGCGTTTTTCTTGACAGAAACTCAAAATCCATCTTATGTTCTCCCCATTTGTTGTTCTGCTTCACAACATAAAAGACTCTGGGAAGGGTCCTACATGAAACATATAAATTAAACTAGCTCATGTGAACAAGTTGCACTTGATACACAGTACAGGAGATGAAGAAGCTGAGCACACACTTCAGCGAGCCAAGCTGGACAGGCACCTTTTTTTTTTTTTTTTTTTTGATGGCCCTATAAAAATGACAGCAGATGATAATTTTAGCAAATAAACATCTTTTAAATTAGCATTCCCTTCCCCTAGCCTACAAAACAAGAAAATATCAGCCTCCCTTTCCTTTCCCTCTCTTCCATTCTCTACCTCCATATTTCTCCTTTTTAACTATACCTGTCAGAAATAGCCAATTATGCTGCCACCTCCTCCAAACACAAGAGAGAAAATTACATTACATGAGCATAGTCTTGTATTTCAAGATTTGTTTAAATGGCTGTTGTGTGGGCATGAAACTGTCCATTGAATAGAAAAAAAATCAGCCAGCCCCACAGCAAGTAATTTTTTGCTGAGGGTATCAGAACTCTATCACTGGCATGACTTCTAGGGTTGATCAGTTAATAACTAAATAAATGGTCTGAATATTCTCTCTGAAATTGGAGGAAAGCTTTTTTGGATTTTTTTTTTACAAGAAAACTAGTAACTGCAATCACTAAGTCCAGTCCTAAATAAAAGATCTAATGATCCATGCATCAGTTTTACAAAGTAATGATAATTCACCAGAAATATTCAGTGGATACAAATAAGAGGAACTTTTACTTTCTTTGGCCCTCCTCCTATGTACACTGGACACAATTCATAAAATCCTAAGGTTACAACTTATGCCAGGTTAAGTCTTTTCCTTAGGCAGCTGGGCAGTTTATTCTATTATGAATACTTTTCTAGTATTATAGATAGGTATAAAATATAGATGTATTTCTATTTCATTTCTCCTACTGAATCAGCTGTTTGACAGAACTTTTGATCTGTTTGTTTAACTTCAAATTTGTTTTTTTTAGCCTGTAACATCACCTTAGTGTTTGTGGACATATTTGATGCTCAAGTGTGCAATTACAGAAAAAAAAGGCTGCTAGGAAACCTCCCTTTAAAAACCTGTTGGAATCATGGTAATCCAGTAATGGATCTGACAGGAATTAGATAACTTGTTAGCAGGGGGGCTTTTTTTCCTTCATCCTATTGTTAGAATAAAACTGATTATTATTGTTGCTCATTTTGCATTCAGATTATTTCTTTTCATCACATTTAGAATTCAATTTAAACAGCTGCTCCATCAAAAAATGTCCCATCATGAAACGCCTGAACTTGTCACCCATGTGATAGAAGACCAGGACAAAAAGTCTTTCTTGTATTATCTAGGGTATTTTTTTATTAATGTGTAGAATCATCTGACTTCACCTACCACTTTCTTCCCTATTCTCAGTCTGCACTGATTTTGCTTAATTTAACATGTTGCTATTTATTGTTGTTTAATTCATACCTCAAAGCGCTACAAACGGATATTCAAAGGATTGACTTTTTCTCATGCGATATAAAGTAAATGTGTCTGCAATGGATGCTGACTGAAGAGCAAAACACATTCCTGTTCATAAGGGGAATTAGTAACTGACCTGAAGGGAAAATGAGGGAACTGAGTATTTCGTATCTGGTGATACTGGCACAGGAAGAATGACAGAGAATCTTAAGAAATTTACTCTTATCCTGAATTCCATATGACCATATAATACCATTTTTACTACTTCTGCAACAGTGTTAACTATCACACAAGACAATGGACCTGTTACATTAATGCACTTTAAGTGTTTTATTCTTTTGTGTAATTTTCTAAGTGCATTAGAGAGCAGAATGTCGTAACAGTTACATACTGAGTCTGTCCCCAAGACGCTGAAAGGCCCCTTGATCATTTATTTTCTTTCAGAAGTCCTCTTTTCTCCATATG